ATACATTTCTCGGATGAGCAGGCAGGCATTTTTCTCCTCTGCCTTTCTTCTTCCTTGGTGCATGTGGTAATTTTCTTACCTCTTATTCTCCTTTACCATGTCCCTTGTGGCTCCAATGCAACACAACTACCCTTAAAAATGGAAACTACATGTATATCATGAAGATACCTAGATATACACTGAAGGCACAAAATCCCTTATGATTTTGGATGAGGGATCTCCAAGCATTGTTAGCTGATCTAAGTTATATTTCTAAAAACAGCACTGATAAACCATGTCTGAGCATTCCTTGCCTTAAAAAGCCTAATGAAATCCATGGGGTCACTGTCTGTCAACAAGCAACTTGGAAGCACACACTGTACAAGATTCATAGTGTATAGCAGATACTGGACCAAAAAAAAAAGATTTGCTTCATGCGCACAGAACAGAACATACATTTTGAAATAGAATTCCCCAAAGGAATAAAAAAAATATAAAAAGCTGAAAAAAACAGAGGAATTGAATATCTGGTAGATTCCAGGAGCTATAGCCCACCCCCAATTCCACACACATATACACTGTCACTAAAAGTAATGTTTTCAAGCTCTGGCACAGAGGCATGTGGATGATATCTGGCTGACTGCTGAATAATGAAGGAAGAATGCTGGGCTACATTGACCTTCATTTGACCATGGGAACCATAAGAAATCCTTCCATTAGGATCTCCACATTTCACTGAAGCTATGCTTCATGTCACCCTATTCTACCTCAAAACAATAATGAAGCCTGTAGGGGTAACAAATAAAAAATGTGCATTTTTCTCCTTGACATAACACCACAGCTACAAGCTGTTCTGCCAAGAAGAACCTTGCTGATATGATTTCCCCTGTCATAGTTTTAGAAGGACTAAGAATTTGTTACTCTCTTTGGATCCTTAATTCTATTGAACAGGCAAATGTGATTACTGGCTACAGGAGGCTTTTGGTCTCTGCTGGGGTCTGGTTCCAGGACTCCAACTAATATCAAGATCTGTGGACATTCAACTCCCATGATATACAAGGACATAGTGAAATGTGGTCCCTTATATAAAATGGCAAAATCAATATTTGCCTTTTGAAATATTTATTTAATATTTTCAAGCCATGGATGTCTTGAATCTGTGGATATTTGGGCGGGGGGAGCAACTGTACAATCAAATCCAAGGCCAACTCCCTAGCTACAGAAGAGGTGAACAGAAGGACATTTATCAGGAGGGGACTGCAACAAAGAAATGGGGAAAGATTCCCAAACCATGCACACACAGACAGAGAGAGAGAGCACCCAATTTTTTGTAAAAGATATTGAAACTAGAATCAAATCCAAAATAAATTAAATGTCATTTTTATTTTATTAAACATGGTGTAATTTTATGATAGCCAGTAGTGATTTGAATGTTGGCTAGGACTTTGGGAACCCAAGGTTCAAAACCCATTCTTAGTTATGGAAACCCGCTGGGTAACTTTGGGAAAGCTAAATTTCTCAGCTTCAGAGGAAGACAATGGCAAACCTCTTTTGAATAAATCTTTCCAATAAATCCCCATGATAGTTTCATCTTAGGATCCCCATAAGTTGAATGTTATTTCAAGCAGAACAATAGCTTCAACCTGTAGGAAAGGAGATTCCACCTGAACATGGGAAGAACTTCCTGTGAGAGCTGTTCAGCAGGGGAACTCTCTTCCCCAGAGTGTGGTAGAGGTTTCTTCTATGGAGGCTTTTAAGCACTGGCTGGATGGCCATCTGTTGGGGGTGCTTTGAATGCAATTTTCCTGCTTCTTGGCAGGGGGTTGGACTGGATGGCACACAAGGTCTCTTCCAACTCAATGATTCTGATTTTATGATTCAAGCACACAGCAAATGCTCCCAATATATACAATGACATAGGCCCCTTCTACACTGTCATATAATCCAGATTATCAAAGCAGATAATACACATTATTTGCTTTGAACTGGATTATATGAGTCTACACTACCATATAATCCACTTTAAAAGAAGATAATCTGAATTCTATATGGCAGTGTAGAAGGGGCCAAATACAATATCAATTCAAATTTTGTGTTGTTTTTTTTAAAAAAAATTCCAAAGCCCTGTTTTTTAGGCTATTTGTTGTGGTAGTACAGTGATTCCCCCCCTAAGGTGTCATGATCCATGTGTTTTTCTTCTTTCTGAAGATCATGGACCAGCACTGATCGAAAGACCACCACTCTGAGTAGCACTATCCTAAAGGAATAATCGCCAAACCTTTATGGAATCACATTCTATTCTTTCTCCTTTTTTGTAACTTGCCAAGTCTATCACCTCTAAAAGCTTCTTCACACTTAATACAGCAGTCAGATTTTGCACAATTACAAACACAATAGTCTTTAAAACCCTTCTTGGGGTTAATAGGTGTATTTTAGTGTCCTGAGACTATGTACAGACAAAAGCACAAATCCTCAAAAGTATCTCATCTTTTGCTGCAAGAAATATTTGTGTTCTGCAACAAGCAGAATTGTCACGCTAAGTGCCAAGAGGCCCAGAGAAAGCTGAGGAGATGCTTAACTCTTTTATTGCTGGTTCATGCTTTTAAATAGCTTAAAATGAAAGATGTGGTGGCCTAGGGCAGAACAGCTGTGTGTATGTCTCACTAACAATACTCTCCTCAACCTGGAGTTTCCTCCTAGATATGTTGGGCTACAGTTCTCTTATTAAATGCTTCCAAACAATGTAGCTAACTACACATCCCTTCCCAACTACTTTATTGTGAGTTGGGCTGGTGATGGTTGTAGTTCAGCATTTATGGAAGGTACCTGGTTTGGATGATTGCTTAGTCATATTTGGCACCAGCCCTTACATATTTCACACACACATCAGTGTAAAAATAAGTATAAGTAAAGGTAAAGGTTTTCCCTTGACTTCAAGTCTAGTTGTGTCTGATTCTGAGGGGTGGTGCTCAACTCCATTTCTAAGCTGAAGAGCTGGCATTGTCCATAAATGTCTCCTAGGTCATGTGACTGCATGGAGTACTGTTACCTTCCTGCCAAATTGGTAGCTATTGATCTACTCACATTTGCATGTTTTTGAACTGCTAGGTTGGCAAACGCTGGGGCTAATAGCAGGAGCTCACCCTGCTCCCCAGATTCTAACCACCTACCTTTTGGTCAGCAAGTTCAGCAGCTCCAGTGAATTGAGAGTTCCGTTGTAATATATTTAAAAACACAAAGTTAAAAATTTGGCATTATATTGGCGAAAAGGGATCTAAAGAATGGGAGGGATTAATAAATTACATGTTAGCCAAAGGAAAGGTTACTACAGAATGGACCAAATCAGAAAGTCATGGGAGGTAAAATTGAAAGGCTTAATTTACAGAATAAATATAAGGAACTAAACAAGATTGTCCTCATGATAGAACAATCTTAATAAATACAGCAAAATATGTAAACTGTACCCAGGGAGGGGAGGGAGAAAGAGGGGGAATTATGTAAACGTCTTACCAATGGAAAATGTTTTGAATGTTTGTATAATTTAGTGTAGCACTATTCACAATAATTTTGAAAATAATATTTTTTTAAGTTGGCATTATACTAAATGTCCTCTGACCAGTAGCTGGCCACTTGGAGTGCCTCTGGTGTTTCTATAAGAAGGTCCTTCATTGTGTGTGTGGCAGGGCTCAGACTGCATTGTAATAGGTGGTCTGTGGTTTGCTCTTCTCCAGACTCGCATTCTGTAACTGAGGCAGCACAGTTTCCAATGTGCAAAACAAACTCAATTACAAGTTAAAATAGCACTTTGGCACCTGGTGACTTTAACAGGGGAAAAGTCTCCAACAGATATGCCATATTTTTCAACAAAATCAACATTGGCATTTAAAATGTGGTTATTACTTTAAAGAAAACCCAATGCTTCAGTTCTGACCACTTTATTTGAATGTGTAAATATGAATAGAATTAGATGTACAATTAAAAATTGTCTTCAGCATAGTAAGAGATCGATACAAAATTTCCTCTCTTGCCTGCCAAATCCCATTGATTTGATGATTTCTTTTGTTTTGGTTATTCCTTACCACTATTACCAGTGAGCTCATATACACAAACACAATAATGAAAACCTGTTGCCTAGAATCATAGAATGGAATCACAGAGTTGGAAGAGATCACATGGGCCATTTAGTCCAACCCCCTGCCATGCAGGAAAAACACAAAGTATCCCCGACAGATGTCAGTTTCCATAGCTGTGCCAATGAAACCATCAATACAACACAATTACTTCCCTGACAGTTATTTTATGGAGGAAAAATTACATGAAAATGCTACATCAATCAGTACAAAGCTCATGTATATTTGAACATCAACACAGTCACAGGCTGGCAGGAAGACAACTCAAAGGTACAAAGAAATATGAATGAAGGGGCTCACAGTCTTGACAAACTGTCTTGGGTGAAACCTGCAAGTACCAAGCTGACCAAAGAAAAGCCTAATTGGTTCCAAATGCCGTCATTCAGAGGCAGGCATGAACCAGGAGAATGGATCAGTGGGCAAGGAGAGTTGATTAAAAAATGGGAGCAGCAGTCATCTGGCAGGCAGGGAGCAATTGAATTGGACACAACAAACAAGAGTCAAGCCCGGTTTTGGGTTAAGTCTTTTTTAGCCTCCAGAGATGGGTGGAGAAGAGAAGATGGAGCAAAAATGCCTGATTCTAGGGAACATTACAATTACTTTAGGATAGATGAGAAACAGATGATAGATAGAGGAGAGTGAGAGGTCATAGATATATATATAAATGATAGGCACACACAGAGAGAGAGGGAGATTAAAGGGGTCAAATTAAATGACTTGGAGGAAGCAAAGGAGCCCTAATGCCAAACTTTCTATCTTTGCAAGCACTTCAAAATCAAATTCCAGAAGTTTCTCCAAAAAAATCCCCCCCCCCTTGTTTTCCTTCACATTGCTTTGCTTTCCCTTTGCTTTCTCTGGGCTGCGATTGGAAAGTGCCCCCCCTCTCCTTACCTGTCTCGCTTGGGTGAGCCCTCTCTCCCTCTCTCCCTCTCCATTTCTCTCTGCTGTTTTCCAACTCTGTTTCGAAGAAAATCAAAGGGGAGGGGCGGAGAGAGAGAGAGAGAGAGAACAAAAGCGAAGTGGTTGGAGGCGCGCTCCCCAGGCTGCCTCCCCGACCCAGACTGAGAAAGCGGAAAGGGGGGAGGGGGAGAGAGAGTGCGTTGCCTGGGAGCCTCTTCTCTCCAAGAGCGCGACTTTGAGAGGAAGGGGGGAGGGGGCTTGTGGCGGGAAAAGAAAGGAAAGGAAAGGAAAGGGGGAAGCCCTCAGCGCTTGAAAGGTTAATTCCTCCGCCTCGGAGCCGGCGTTTGATCCTCTCCCAACCGAGGGGAGCTTTCCCGGTCCTCAAACCAATCAGAGCAAGGAGCGGGCGGAGCCAGGCGCTTCACTGTTGGGGCTCCTCTTTTCCCGTCTTCTTTTTTTTCAAACATTCCCTCTTCTCCCCTCCCTCCCTCCCTCCCTCCCTCCCTCCCTCCTTCCCTCCCTTTTTTTGTCTTCCCCCTCCTTTTTTGTTTAGTTTAGTAAATTAATGCAGCAGGGAAGTCTTCCCATCCGGCGCCTTTTCCTGCCTTTCCTTCTTTCTTCCTTTCTTCCTTTCTTTGCCGGGGTGAAGAAGATGGGACGGAGAGGGAGATGGAGGGGCTCCGGAGACCCCTGAGAGACTTGGCCTCGCCCCCCGCCTCCCCGAAGCAATGGGACGCCTTCCCTGCGGCGGCCACAACTTAGTCGTGGGGGGAAAGAGCTCGGCTGCCCCGAGACCACCGGGAACGACGCCGCGAAGGAGGCGAGCAAGGGATGGCGCGGGGCTTTGGATGTAACTGAGGGAGGGCAAGCCCGTCCTGGGGATTCCTCCCCGCTGCTGCCCGCTCTTGCCCCAGCCAGCCTCGATGGGCAGCCTGTTCTCCTGGCACGCCGCCTGGTCCCGACGCCCCTCGGGCTCCCGCTGAGAAGGGCCGCCCTCCCTCCCTCCCTCCCTCCCTCCCTCCCTCGCTCGCTCGCTCGCTCGCTCCTGCCTTCTCTCCCTCCCTCCACCCGAGCGCGGCGCCGTCCATGCCATTGCCATTGCCCGGCCCCGTCGCTCTCCAAGGTGCTGAACCGCGCGGGGCGGCGCTGCGGGGCCCGCTCTCCAAGGTGCTGAAGCCCCTCCAAGGCGGGCGCCCGCTCAGCCTGCCCGGCTCAGCCTCCCAAGCGCTGCCTTTCTCCCCAAGCGCCCGGATTGTGTACAAATTGCGCGCAGAGAGAGACCAGCCCCGCCGCCTGCCTCCCGCTCTCCTCTTCGCCCCCTCCTCGCTCTCTCTCTCTCTCTCTTTTTTCCAAGTGCCCATTTCCCACTCTGACTCTTGTGGACTACAAAACAAACAAACAAAATGTGTAACCTCAATGCACTCGGCGTCTACCTTTGGGAGACCATAGTATTCTTCAGGTAGGCGGATGGCTCGACCACTGAGCCTGGGGGATACCTGGGCGATACCTTTTGGGGTTGGAGATTGCAAGGCTGGATCGGGGAGCCAGCACTTTCGGGATTTTCCCTACCTATGGTTTTTCCCTCGCTTGGTTGGGCTCGAACGTGGGTTTATTTGTATTATTTTCTCTGTGGTTAGTTGTTGAATCCGGACTAGAAGGAGTTGTGACAGCTTTATGAGTTGCTCGGTGTAATTAGCACTGCATTCTCCGCCTGGAACCGCAGTGCTGAAAACACCGGGCGCTCAGACTGGGAGGAAAGCGACCACTAGTGGACAAATGTGGGCTTTGCACTTCTACTCTCCCAAATACAATGTTTCATTTGCTGACTTTTTTTTTGGGAGGGGGAGGAAAATGCAAGTCGAGGTGAACAAAGTGGATTATTGTCCCATCGTTCCTGTGTAATGAAATTCTCAGGAATAATTGCTTTTGTGCCTAACGGATTATTCCTACTGTGCTTTAAAAGGTTTAGTTGTACTACTCCCTTGTCAACCTTTTTTTAAAAAAACTTCTGCACAAGTTTATATCTTTGTTTATTTTATGAAAGACCTGATTAATTTTCCTTCATCCATATTTATCAGACAAGGTTTTCAGCATGATCTTCTGCCTATTTACCTAGATGCAAGCCCCACTTAATTCAATACGATTCCTTCCAGTTACAAGTGTATAGAGTGGCAGTCTTTGACTACGTCTGATTTAGCGTCTGACTGTGTGATGTTGTCACATACTTCTGTACTAGTTCTTATTTCGCACAGTTGGAGAGGGGCAGTGATAGGCAACTATAATTTTCACCGTGTGGGAATGAATAATGCAATTTTCTGAGCTGGTAATGAGAGGTATCACAGACATGTGTTTTGGCAACCTGTATTTGTTTCATGACCTGCAGGGTCCATCAATCTTTTACTTCATTTGAGTTATTTGACTGGAAAACTCCATCTCTTTTTTCTTTAGAAGAGCAAAATCTTATGTCTTGATAAAGACTGAATCATACCATCTAAATTAGATGACCAGGTGGGTAGATAGATAAATAATGGCAAGTATTCACACAAATACACACAAACCTTGCCAAAGTCTGCCTGCCTGCCTGACTCCCTCTTTTTACAGATATACCAGTATAATTTCTCTTGTTGTGAGAATTAATTGGCTTTGTTCTAAGAATATCAAGTTCCAGTATTTCCAAATAATAAGAATGCAGTTACTCATATCAAAAAGGAAATATATATTGACAAAGCTTACACAGGCAAATCTTGATTAAAGGACACCACCATCCTGCATCCAGCTAGACTGCCATTGACTTCAGTGGGATTTAACTGCTTAACTGTGCATAGGATTCCAACTTCATCTATACCATCTCAAATGCAGATTGTTTCCTAAAATATGATAAAAACCAATCTCTGTTCCGGTTGTTAACAGGTATAACTGGAATTCTAATACAGCATGTAATATTTAGGAAAGCAGATAAAGAGAGCATCACACCACATCACATCTTTAATCAGTTTAGAACACTAATGGTTTTTCTGGAAAAGGGAGAACAAAGCATCTCAACAAGCATCAGCAATATCTGATTATTAAAAAGAGAGAATTTATCCATTCAAAGTACTGATACAAAAGCAGAAAAACATGTCATTCCCTATCCTTCTCTCTTTACCTTGTTCCATGTTAGAATATGAATGCCGTATACATTTGTCACAATTTATATAAAATGTATCTAAGCAGGCATATTATAAAGAATCCTAATCAAATTAAAATCTCGTTACTTTCTATAACACCTTTCAAAACCAGTCAGCTGATATACTGCAAGATGGAAACTTCAACCAACACAGAGGCAATGTTGTGCAAAACCAAAATTATTTAGCTTTATGTTGATAGGTAGCTTCAAATATTCCTCATAATGCTTTTTCTTGGTGTATAGAACTTGAAGCAAATTAAAAGTGTCATCTGCAATTTTTCCAGAAGCAACAGTTCTTGTAGAAAAGAGTTTCCCTCTGTCTCTAGTACATTCCATGACTGCATTGTTCACTCTCAGCTGAAAGCCTGAAACATTAATTTCACTCACAAATCCTTATTGAGATTTTAGTATATAGGATTAAGGACTATTCAAAAAGTTAATCTAAGTTAATTACCCCTGAGGAGAGTTGGGCTGCCAAGGAAAATATGCCTAGTAAAATCTAGTAATCCAATAATCCATAACAGAACAAAAATATGTCGCACATTAGATGACATTAGATGTCTACCCCCATTGCTGATCTCTCGAACCAAAGTAGTTTGGGATTGTGGAAAGAGTCAATACTGCGTCAACACAGTCTGCAATATAAAAATAAAAGAACGAGCAGAAAAATGCACATCATTTATACGCAAGAGAAAGCTAGGCTTCTGTTTAAGCATAAGGCCTTCTGTAAGCCATTAAACCCTATTAAATCTGTAGGGAAAAATAACATCTGGTGTGTGGTTGCAAACATTACAATATTGCAGTATAATATTTGTTTCTGTTACAGTTGAACTATTTTCAGAAGAATTAGTAGAATTTGATTCACAAGTGTCTTTTATGTGAGAAATTCCATAATCTGAATTCATATAGATAACATATTTATCTTTAGGGCCTGAAGGAGTTTGGGCATTTACAATGCAAAGGTGAAAAACAAAGAGGAGGTGCAATTTGTATTCAAAAAACCTTTGCTCGGGTCTGTTTATCAGCAATGCTTTATTACTGGCAAGGCCTGAGTATTTATCAGAACACAAGGGGTTGGTGTTATTGCATTCTGAAATTCAGTATGTAAAATTGTGTACCAAGTAGTATAGCTGTAGTTGCATACCCAGCTAACTGATACAGCACATATATTTGTTATTCTTCAATTGGCTTGCAGTATGCCTATGCAACTATGGATATGAGCATAGAAATATACATATCCATATTCTTAAAATGTGGCCTAAATACCCAAACGGCACTAGATGAACTTGGAAGCCAGTCTGGTTAGCACTTGCATGAGATCTGGTTACTATTTTGGAGGGGAGATACTAACGGATGCCAGGCGCTGTAGGAAGAAACTGGCAAAACCACCCATGTATATTTCTTGCTTTTAAAATACTCTGTGAAATTGATATGGTTGCCTTAAGTCAATAGATAACTTTAAGGCACTGATTCTTAGAAGATCCTTTTTTTTCATAAAATAGTCTTCCATTGTAATCTTAGGTGTTTATTTGCTGTGTTCAATAACTACAACAAAGTATGTGGCTCGTTACTGATAATACTGCTCATCTGAGATATGCCCAATCCATAATTTAAAAGATGTGGTATATTACCTTCATATTGCTGGGGATGCGGCATCAATAAAAATTCCCAGATGAGGATTGGTGCATCCTTAAAGCCCACAATGGAAAGTGATGCTTAGCTTGTTTGTTCTGAAATAAATTAGAAGCAACCTCCATGGATGGCCATCTATCAGGGGTACTTTTGATTGTGCTTTTCCTGCATAGCAGGAGATTGGACTAGAAGGCCCATGTGGTCTCTTCCAAGTCTATTGTTCAGTGACTCAATGACGCTAAAGTTAAGTAGATCAGTTGATTGGTTTGGAGATTATAGGGAAAGTAGTACAGTATCTAGGGCTATTCTGCATTATAGGCCCCTTCCGCACAGCCATATAACCCAGAATATCAAGGCAGAAAATCCCACAATATCTTTGAACTGGATTATCTGAGTTTACACTGCAATATATTCAGAGCAGAAAATGTGGGATTATATTCAGCTGTGTGGAAGAGGGCCTTAGATTCTACAAGCAGGACTGTTCCAAAATGAAATAGACCTTTCCTATAGAGATGGATTTTCAATGATTCCTGATTAAGATAATGAAACTTTTTGGCTGCCGAAAAATCCTATTCGATAACCTTATTACTTCAGCTGGTATTTTCCTGTAGGCTGGACTGGATGAAAAGAGATGATGCTCCTTTTTTAAAATAATAATAATATTTTTCATATACAGGTTTAAAACAATCAGTGGGTTTTGCCATATCACTGAAACTCCTTATTTAAGAAAGGAGGAAATACAAACATGCAGGCACAATTTAAGATTTTTGTTTTGTTTTCATTGTTTGGCCTTTTTGCTTTACCTCTGCAATGCTGGATAATATTACAGTGAGTTAGGACCACATATCTTGAGATGCCCCCTTGTTGCTCTTTAAAACAACTATTCCCCTAGCATTTAGGTCAACGCTTTTAAAAGAGCTTCAGCACTTCTTTAAATCAGAGGGTTCTCTTCCAACAAGTGGGGTCAATGAAACTATCAATAAAATTTCTTACAAAGTTATCATTTTAACAGCTTGAAAAAATGTCATATATTTTAATGTAATGATTCCACCTTTGTGTTTTATCTATTTTTCTCTCTTTAAAAAAAATAAACAACCCAACAACGTTGTAGCATAATAGGTTGACACAAATATTCCTCTTTTTAAAAAGTACCTACAGAGCCTCTTTGGTTTTGATGTTTTATTTCTGTTTTGTTTTCTCAGGGACTGTCAAGAATTCCTGTGCTATTTTGTAAATAATTAAGTAATCTGTCATGTCCCAAAAGAGACCATTAGAAATGTTGTTGATCCTATTTTGTCAATTAATCTCAAAATACACAATGGAAAAGATAGCATAGTGGTGGTTTCTTGAAGCTGTTAGCCCTATTCAAATGCTAGATCAGTTCAGAAGTATATCTACTTCACTGTCCCATGTAACTGCCCAAGTGCCTCAGGAGACTTAAAACCTAAGATCAAACACTGCTATGTAAACCAAAATGTTTGTTAAAATTCAGCTTGAGTATCCCTCTCTGAAACACTTGGGACCAAAACTGTTTTGGATTTCTTTTTTTTTTCAGATTTTGGAACATCATATTTGCATATACATACATAACAAGATATCTTAGAAATAGGACCCAAGTCTAAGCAAGAAATTCATTTATGTTTCATAGCCTGAAGCTCTTT